ACTGACAGATATGGGTTTTTTACCGAAATATTTGCGGTGTAGAAACCCAAATTCAATCGAAGAGTCTCACTCGAACGACGTTTCTTATGTGACTATTCATTTAGCAGATGTCATTGAACAATGGAAATTTTATGGCTGGACTAATTTGCTCATCAATGATGTGACATTTGTACTCGGATATGGCAAACTGGAACGTCATGAAGTGATATTGTTTTCGATGTGAATCAATGAAACAAGTTGTAACCGACGTCAAAATTGCGTTTACAAGTACCGGTACACAGAGAAATACGTAACAACATCATTGTGAAGAAGCCAATATCACACAAACGCTTCGATAAAACAACGATTATTGCATCACATTTAAGTGACGAGAAAGCGCATGAAACTTTTGTTCATTCAAAAATTACTTTTCTTCCGTTAAACTGCTTACGATTAGTTCCCCAACGAAATAAATGCGAATCGCTTCGTTGGTGACGAGAAAAACAGTGAGAATTAAGCAAAATGACTGATTTTTTCGTTATCTGAAGGTGTAATTTATTTAAGAGTTCGACGAAAATGTTTCGATCATTNAAGTTAAAAATATATTGTTCGAAATACATCAACTTATCACGATAATAACAATCAACATAGGAAGAGCAATCGTATAATATTAATGTATAAATCACAATGACATGGTATTGAGAACAACTCAGCTAAAAGAAAATGAGAACAACTCAGCTGACGTTATAGAAACTAGTGAATAATTAAATATGAAATTGAGAGTAGTAAATGAGAAGAGATGAAATGAAATTAACCCGTTATTCGAAAAGTGGATGGCAGCAGTTAGGTGCGATGGGTTGGGTAGCTGACTACCAGAAATGAACAACCGATAAGCATAAAGGGAGTGAACTGATTAAGTAGGTCGAACAAGAAGGTACCGTATTTCCTTGAACAATTACTGCAAGGGATGTATGTGACACTTCAAAAGCGATCTATTCAACACGAGAATGATCTATCAAGGGGATGCGGAGGACAGGACGAAGGCAAGTAGGAACTGATCAAAGAAATACGGCATTATGGTGTCAATCTTCTACAGAACAGCCATCTTCTGTGGTGTTGTGGCTGGCGATAGATAGCGACTATCGGATTCTGATATCGGATTCGCATCACCGTCATCATCACTGTCATCGTTGTTTCGATTGTCATCCGAATCACTTTCGTCATCGATATTATCGAAGTTCTCTGATATGTTCGTTGAAGACAATTGCATTCCGGACGAAGTGGATAGTTTAGGCGATTCCTGAATGAAATATTCGGTGGGTACATGAGATAATCGCCTTGTTGTGTTCGAGTTATAGAGCGGAATTTGAGTTGCGTATGAATTTAACAGCGGATAAAAAAAATTCAATACAAATCACAAACGAATATGATCAAGAAAAACGAAGGTGATTCAGTGTTTGATTAAAATGCCGCACTGATTTCATGACAAAAAATTGATATCGTACGTACATGTTGAATGGTGAAATTGCATCACCATTCAACACTTCAACTACCTTTTGCGGAGGCCGTCATTTGCGACGAACATTCCATAGGAAAGAATAATGAATAAAGCTTGGAAGTGAATGAGATGAATGACAATGATCGTCGAACGTTTGCGATTTATCGCCAATGATGAAAGATCTCACCTCATTGGAAGCCGCAGTGTTGACAATGTTATTTTGCTCACTAGCTGGATCATCGTAAACCCGACTTGTTTCCATTCGGTTCCGTGATAACGCTGATTCGGCATGTTTGCGATGGTTCGAGTGGGGCGGAGGACGCGGCTTTGCTCGTTCAGAGGGGTCGACTTCATCAGGATAAACCAAGTCAGTGCCATCCATACCTAAATGATGAGGCATCGTCCGTAACATCGGAAATGATACAATTGTTCATCAGGAACCGAATAAATTATAAACAACTGTTTGGAAATTGTTTCCAAAAATTTTCAAACTTCAAATATCAAACTAAATTTGAAGGTTCTTTTGTATTGTCAAAAGTCGATGCGTTTGGGAATCAAAAGGAAGATCATCTGGGACGAAATTTGGTACGCACCATTAAAATGTACGTAAACGACAGAATATAATAAAGTTCACTGTTGAAGATTCGTATGATTTCAAAAATCGTATAAAATTCAATCGCTAACGATAACAAAGAACTGATTGATCAGCTTCGAGTCGATCATATATAAACCTACCATCACTATCACTCATTTCCAGCAATGGTCGTCGTTGACTTTCCGCACTGTCCGACGGTAAACGTCGACTGACTGGTCGCATTGTCATATATTCGTCATCTTCTTCACGAGGACTCAAAATCGTATCTAAAGATNCGCAAAAATTCCTTGTAATTACTGAGCAATATTCACGACGCTTAATTACTTTTAAATCTGATCATAAAGGCACATATAAAGAATGAATATCACCTGAATCCTTCAACAATTCTATAATTCACATCAGTCGTAATAAACTAAAACACTTCAGTAAAGCGTCTTATGAAAATCCTCATTTGATAAAGACAGTCAACCGATTTAGTGAAATAATTTCATTGATTTCGGAATAACTTACCACCGACTTTGATTCGATTGTTACCCAACAAATGTAACTTCATTCGCTCACTTCGTTTATCAGCAGCTATACCACACGCTCCATCGATCTGAATATTCATACGGTGATAACGTTTCAACTCGCTTGCTGCCACTGCAAAAGAACATTTCAAAGGGAAAATAGACATCAAACGAACCCGTCGATCGCATTCTTGTCTCCAGTTATTACGGACAACATTGGACACGGCAGCATCCTTTTTTAACGATGGACTTCCATCGGCATGACCACGTTTCACCCTTAAAATTAAATTAACATTCCATCCATATGGTTGAGCATTCTTGTGTTGAATCTTTAACTTTTGTTTTGTAGGTTGAGAGAAACATGGGAAGATTTACTATCAGTTAGAACGGGAATTTTCTATGAACCTTTGACACTGTGAAGAACAAAAGCGAACGAACCGTGTTTTGCTAGCACGTTGTCGATTATCTGCAAAATAGCGAACCCGAGATGGGGAATTGTCATCAATTTCGTCATCATTTGTATCAGCAATCGTGCGACCATAGCGACGCAAAACGTCCGTTCGTGATACCTAAATGAATGGTCATCCAATCAATCAATTCAGAATTAACATTTGATTGACAGCATTATCACTCATGGATTCCCATATCTAATTGCAAAAAAAGATTTTTCCTCCATTGAAAGAAACAACAATCTGCGAGGTCAGACGGAACAGTAATATTGCTTTGGGAAAAACGGCAAAAATACAACAACAGAACAATCGCGAATGTACAACTACCTGATCCGTTTCATCATTAGAAGATGGTAGGCCAGTACGGGTGACATCGATGTTCTTTTGTGAGATCGGTGTTGTTGCTCTTCGTGACTTCCAACGACCTGATTCGGCGATCGATGGTGACCTGCTGCCACCTCCCAACGACGACCCACCAAGTCGCTCGCTTATCGGTAATGGACGAACCTGGAATGAGCTTCACAGTTAAACCGCTCTAAATTCATCCGAGAATAACTCTTTCATGGCGTGCAACAATGATATAAACGCCTACTCTTTCAGCAACCTTAAGAAGAATTATATTTCAAGAGAACTATCTTTTCAGTTTATCCGATAAAGAATTCAACTTGTTCTTGGTGTTTTCACTGTACGATATCATTCTGCAAATGACAGTTCGAAAAAAATCACATTCTATCAGAAAATTGAACGGAAATGATCTAAAATTTGCAAGTGGTGCATCAATTTTGTTAATTTCCACAAAAATAAACGTATTGCAATATTACTAAACATAGTACGTGCGAACATCCTAATTGTAAGGAAAATATTCAACTGAACTGAGAACATGAGATGTATAATTTATGCGAGAAACGCTTTTTTTATCACAGATCGTACCTGCACAGTGGGTAGACCAGTGAGCTGAGCTTGTTCGAAATTGCTCAGCTGATTGTTATGCATCGAACGGAATGCTCTTGGAGGCAATGGTGGTGGTGCTGCGCAAGCGGGTGCACCATCGAACGATTTCGAAACTCGAGCGTTGAAATTGTGCACTTCATACTCGGGATCCTTCTGCTCTGCAGGCTTATCGTAGCTGCAATTTGCATTTCTACACTCATTTTCTTTAAGGCCTCGAAGTATCATTCAAGATCTATGAATTTAAAAGACGTTCGTGCGAAAAGCGATATCGACATGGAAAGTGAATTCATATGATACGAAAGGGACTGGCCGCTTGCATGTTTTAAAGTTTACTCATTTGAGAGTAAAGTGTTTCATCGGAAAACACATTGATTCCTTGAATTTTTCTTGACGTAGTTTTCCTTAATCGCACTCCGTGCTCAAGCGCTCTAATAAAGTTTCACCGTTGTTAACAACAGAAATGAAACGGTAGATTGAAATATTCCCGAAACGAACCGATATTTCTTATTCCTGAGATAACAACAAATGAGAACTGCCAGTATAACGATGAGGAGAATAGATATAGCCAATGCCACCTCAACAAAACCCAGCGGCCAACCGTCGGCGACTAATGTCGGTGGTCGATCTGAAAATACAATACCGTTTATTATCTCCATCCGAAAGATGTCTATCGGAATTCAGAATGCCGTATAGGAAATAATCACAGAGAGCGGTATTACTACCTTAGTTGCTGATTCTCCGAATTTAATAGCTATGAACTGCTCAAATATGCCATCAGTACTCAAACTGAATACTGTAAAGCTAATTAACACAAGAGAAAAAATGTTGGATGTGGGTTAGACCAGCGTGAATCGCACACTCTTACAATAAAATGTTTGCATTGACTGCACAAAAAATTCCTTCAAACAATGCACATTGGTCCCAACATCATCACTTTCTCATACGTAAGTCATTAAAGAATGATGGATTGAAAATGAACCTGAACATGATGTACCGGAATATCCATGCGAACAGTTACAAATAAACCCGTTTGATTGTGGTAGGCGAATACATTTGCCGAAAGGACCACATGGATTGGGCGAACATGGATCCCAATCACCTGAAAACAAGTGATTCCTAATTCAAAATTACTTTCACCTTCAACTTCAGTCAGAAATTCCCAGAACAACAGCTTTTCGAGAAGTGTTGAGAGTGCTTACCAAGAGATGTGCAACGACGCTAATGAAAACATATAATGAACTGTGGCTCAGAAAGAAATTCCATAACATTGATAAGTGACTGGAAAACTATTACACGGGCAAATCTCGCATATTTCATCTTAATTTGGCATTGCCTTGCACTTTTGACGAAACCATTNGGTCGTGAAACGCATGGCGTCAGATCGATTTCGCACATTTGTCCTGCATAGCGCGGTGGACACACACAACTGAAACAAATGCTATTCATTTAGTGACATTTTCTCAAAATGCATCATGATAATGTTAAACTGGTCAGATAGGTGAGCCAGTGACCTGCAATTGCAAGGTCAAAACCACATGAACCATGAGCATGACTTATTCCAGTTCACTTGCACATACCCGAGGTTTTAAACCAACATATTGCTGCTTGTCAATACTGCAGCTTGAACGTGGATGAGCTTATTTTCACAAACAAAAAATTTTAGCAATCATTTTGGCTGACAGCCGGAATAAGAGAATGATGTTCGGTTGAAATAAACTGCTAGAAGGATAACCTGAACGAAGTGTCGCCGGTTGGAATACAATTCCCGTCATTACTGCACGGATTTACCGAGCACGGTTCATTGCCAACAGCATCACAATCCAATCGCGTATTATAGAGACGTAATCCTTGTTTTGTTTTTGGTAAATCGAACCCATCCACCGATATACGTCTGCAATCAACAACCAGTGTACATTTTCACATATTTGTTTGTATACTTTCTGTTTTACTATGTGCAAACCTTCTCCTTCCCGTTTCTTGGAAATCAGAGAATGTCAAAGACTGAACAAAATCTACCAAATCTGCGGAATTTCTTTCTCGAAAATGAATCCAAAACAGAAATCACTGAGGTAAGGTGAACTGAATACGGCGATACAAAGACACAAGCAACAAAGCACTTACCCAAAACACCCGATCATTCCCTTCGAAATGAGTGGTCTCAAGTCATTCGCCGACAATGTCGAACCACCACTGTTTGCAATGTAATTTACCTGAGCACCAAACGTTAATCTGCAAATCGAATTTCTCATCAGTTCAATTTATACTAACGAACCAGTTAGTTTCTAATCACATTAATAAGAAAAAGCGCAAGAAAACATCGAAACCTATATGCGCAGTTCCATTGCTAATGATTATACAGTGACGGTGAATTATTGTGACATATACTATGAAATATCNAGTCAAACAGATGTTCGACATGCAAACTGCGATTTTTTCAAACGTTTTGTGTTAATCTTAAGTTATAATGATTCACTAAGGCGATTTGGTTTAATCATAACTAAATTAGGTCACATCATATAATTTCAAGCCGAACTGATGCAATTTGAGGATGCATCCTCTACCTCATAGCGTTCTTGTACAGATTGATCACATCACTTCCCGCAGGACTGTGTCCGTCGACTGTGTGTGTATCGTCGATGGTCAGTTTGACGTGTCTGCTTCGACGAGAAACCTTCACTGAGTGCCATTTCCCGTCTGACACTCGAATGCTATTCACCTGAACCACACCAACTCCAGATCCACAATCCCAACGGTATTGTGCATATCCTCGGGATATCTGAATGATTAGCACTCATATATTATCAACCACACGACTGAATGAGCACATCTAGGAATACATGAAAATTGCAACAGTTGCTTTTAAATTCGACAACCCCTCTACTGATTCGAAATTCTCCGAAAGAAACACGATCTACCACCAACTGTCACAAGTCAATTCAGAATGGATATCATCTTAAGATAATTGACGTACTTCAATCGCGTGGAAGTCACTGTTTCCAGTCGCATACATCACCGTGGCATCAGAACTGATCGTACGAAAACGGAACGATAACTCCAATCGACGTTCCAATGAATTGGCGATTGTTATTTGAAAGAATGCATCGCCGTTCACGCTTATTTCTGCATCTGAAATAGTGCAAATGATTGACTGCGCGAAAACTTACATTGAAAATTGCAAGAAAGTTACGTTCACTGCACTAAATGGAATAAATTATGAAAAAGACGGTAATGTTACTATTTGATTTGAAAGGTTTCGGTACGATATAAGTGTGATCACCTTGACTGCACTCGCGATTATCCTTTCCACAAGTTGGTACCATGCATCGATCACCGGTTGTGCCCGGCGGACAAACGCACTCGAAACCGATATCCGTGTCCATTGGAACACACATCTGCAATTTGTTCCTTATAACTTGCAATCGTCAAAGTAGTTCATTCATTATTTCAACATATCATCCGAATAAAGCAACAACTAAACAGTAATACTCAAGCAAAATGGGAAATAATCGAGATGATTTGGAAAAGTTATTGATTGTGATCAACTGCTTGTGAAATGAAACTAAAATAACTCGTTCAGTTGTCAATCCATCGCAGTTACTTATTCATCTGTTATCCATCACGGAAACTTTCAGTCCAGCGCGCAATCAAACAAGATTGACGATTCTTAGATAAAACTCTTATTTCAGACTCTACAATGAAGGTTGTACTCATTTTATAAGGATTTTGCTGGACTATGACATCAGGATTCATTTCCGAAACTTCAACGAAGCGTAACGTAAACATTTTGATAAAACGATGAAGCGAAGAAACCTCATCTTTGGTGCACTGTTCCTTACTACACTTATCCACCGGAACATCGCAACGCTTGCCAGCAAAGCCCTCACGACAAATACACTCGAATGTTCGCGCATGACGAGGTGCATAGAATGCCTGGTCGTTGATGTAATAATAGGCTGACAAGGCATCGTCCAAATACAATCGATCGCGACATTCACCTCGAACACAAACATCGCGACGACATACTTCGGTTGTCATCGAAACTATCTGAAATATAATATATGCTTTGCAAATCGGTGAAGAACTAATGAAAATCGCATGCAATCTTCACTCTTGCGACCTCTACAAATCTTAACACTTCACACTGAGGTAGGAGTCGATGCATGTGGCAATGGTTATGAACATAAAACAAATGAGTTGATAATGAGTTAGCAGGGCGAGTGTTTTTGCTCTCGTTGATGATCACAAAACTGCTGCATTAGTTGACCGTTTTGCATGAACATTCTCATCTATGAGACATCGAAAAAACGAGAAGATGGCCTTTAAAGAGGCGTTCAAATTTCCTAACGACCATAATATTCAATACAATAAAAAATTATCAAACGTCCCACTTCGATTGATTGGAAGTAATCGGATGAAATCAGCTTGAGAAATTGTTTCAATGAGTTCTGGACGTGAACAATTGGCCGAAACTGTTAAGCAAATTAATGGATCACCTGAAGTCCGGTGTCATCGGCTAATTCAACGATGTTCTGTTCAAGACGTTGACGAATATAATTAGGACGATAATAGCCTCTCGAATCGCCTCTTGAAACAGTAAACAGAATGTCGATGTCTCGATCGCTCGATTCCTGCTTATGTAGACTTCGACGTACATGGATCAGCCTGCGACGGATCCGTAAACGATGATGTCGTTGGGTGTGAGTATCTGCAACAACACATCGCCTATTTTGGTTAGAATCAATGACCAAGTGGTTGAAAAAAACAGATTTCTGGTTACAGATTGGACTGTGTAGAAGTGA